CCCCACAAATCTCCCTATATAAAGACCCACTTCCTCTTCACAAAGTCCTCATCTCTTGTTTGCTTAGTGTGTTCATACACAACAGTTGTAGGGAGGGGTGGGTGAGAGTTTTTTGAGTGTGTGGCTGGAGCTCTGATAGCTGGTCTCTCTCCTGTTTGGTATAATCTCTGACACCCTCTTGTTTATCTTGGTTTTACACGTAAAACCAGAGGCTTTTGGTCTAGTTTTCATGCATGTTTTCCATTCAGTACGATTTCTTTGGTCCAGTTTTCATGCATATTTTCCATTCAGTACGATTTCTTATATCAATGTGTTTATCTTGATTATATATGAGATCAAGGTTGTTGATAACGTTTGCTATTTTGTATGCAGGGTTTTAGTTATAATGTCGTGTTTTCTGTAGGTTTTTTTAAGCCAATTGTCATACTATGGTCTCTCTTACATGCAAGACCAGTGGTGGTCCATTTGGATACGGACTGCACTTTTCACCTTGTGAAATTAGAAATTGGAGGCTTAGAGTTTAGTGATTAATCATTATGCTAACTTAACTGGTTCGTTTTCAATAAAAATAATGAGCGCAGTCAAATATCTCATAAACTCATTCATAAAAATCTATCAGGATAATCTCTATACGCTTTTTTTACCCCCACTTTTTTTAGTTGGGAAAAAAAAAAGACCAGAGGTTACTCATCTGGTGTTTTTTAGCTGATTGGGTCAGACCCATTTTTTTTTTTTGGGGGGGGGGGGTAATTTTTCTCTATTGAAAATCACATTAAATATGTTTTGCTATGATGATTTAGCAGGTCTGCGTCCCTATTTTCCAGGTAACAGAAGCTACTTTCTCATGCATTTTATTCTTTAAAACTTATATGTTTTTTATTCTTTAAAACTTATATGTTTGTGCGAGTTTAAGCCAATGTTGTGAAAATCCATTTATCCTTGAGGTTTTTTTTTTCTTTTCAGGGTTGAGTTTCTTCAATTTCTATTTATGACGAAGGTTGGGGCCGGGTGGAGGAGGATGCATAGATGGAGTTAAGGGGCCATCCTCTCCCCACTCCACCACCTCAACCCCAAGCGCTGCCCCTAAAATTCCTGAATCTTGAGCAATGGTTAGATATCTTAAATAAACGGCGTACTAGGCCTAGAATTTTATTTAAAGTTAAATAACTACATAAACAGTTGTATATATATTTATAATAACGGTATAAACGACTTTTGGAGGCAAAAAAAAGGGTATAAACGACCATTTTAACAGAATTTTGAAAAATAAATATCAACTATATTGTTGTCAAAAAGGAGCAACATAAACGACCACTCATTTAAAAACTACATTATTAGTTATAAATAGCTATACATTTAGTAGTTAAATAATTTTAACGGTATAAACAAACTTTGTCCCTTAAAACGGTTTAAACAGTCATACTTTCATAATTATATATAGTAATTAGCATATCTATATAAACGACTATAAGTAGTAGTTTTGAAAGAAATATTAATGTAATTTTCGTGGCCGAAAATGTCANGACTTTGTCCCTTAAAATGGTTTAAACAATCATACTTTAATAATTATATATAGTAATTAGCATATCTATATAAACGACTAAATTGTCAGTATACTCCTATAAGTAGTAGTTTTGAAAGAAATATTAATGTAATTTTCGTGGCCGAAAATGTCAAAAGTGTCATAATTGTTTTATTTTTAATTTAAAAAATTTTAAATAAATGACATAATAAGCATAAAATCTTATTTATATAATCGGTCGTACATTTATGATAACGGTACAAACGACCATTTTAACAAGAAATTAAAAAATAAACGAAGTAAACGATCATTTCAACAAGAATTTAAAAAATTAACAATTTAACAAAAATTTAAAAATAATTATTTAACCATTAATACTCATTAATTGTAAGATTTCCAAAGTTCAACCCAACAGCTATTATCCTTAAGATTTTTTTACTNCTTAAATATATGTCATAATAAGCATAAAATCTTATTTATATAATCGGTCGTACATTTATGATAACAATACAAACGACCATTTTAACAAGAAATTAAAAAATAAACGAAATAAACGATCATTTCAACAAGAATTTAAAAAATTAACAATTTAACAAAAATTTAAAAATAATTATTTAACCATTCATACTCATAAATTGTAAGATTTCCAAAGTTCAACCCAACAGCTATTATCCTTAAGATTTTTTTACTAAACAACATTCGATCAAGATATATACATATATATTCACACACACATACCCATCTTTGTCTAAAAAAAAATGACAAGAGAAGTACATGCGAAATTTCCTTAAAATTGTTACCATATATTTAGTTACTTCAAGGAAAAACTACAGATAAAGAAAGACATTGAAACCAAGCATTGAAAGCTTCTGTGCTTCAAGCCTTCAACTACTCATTAAATTGTNTGACAAGAGAAGTATATGCGAAATTTCCTTAAAATTGTTACCATATATTTAGTTACTTCAAGGAAAAACTAAAGATAAAGAAAGACATTGAAACCAAGCATTGAAAGCTTCTGTGCTTCAAGCCTTCAACTACTCATTAAATTGTGGGGAAATTGTTTAATTTCACAGATTGAGAGGATACACTGTATTACCATGCGAATTAGCAAAGAAACAAAACTAAAATTGAATGGTTGGTGACAGATTAGCAGATAACAACAGCGCGAAAGATGAGTTGGTGTGGCATTAATGAAAATTTTGAAACCAAAACCGAAACGTAGAAGAGGGAAATAGCAGAGAGATGAAGACGAAGATGAGCCAGAAAGAAAACGCCACGCACTGNTGATTAGTTAGTGTAAAGACAGATTAGCAGATAACAACAGCGCGAAAGATGAGTTGGTGTGGCATTAATGAAAATTTTGAAACCAAAACCGAAACGTAGAAGAGGGAAATAGCAGAGAGATGAAGACGAAGATGAGCCAGAAAGAAAACGCCACGCACTGGCAGTTACGAACTTCCCCTGNAATTTTGAAACCAAAACCGAAACGTAGAAGAGGGAAATAGCAGAGAGATGAAGACGAAGATGAGCCAGAAAGAAAACGCCACGCACTGGCAGTTACGAACTTCCCCTGAATTTAGAGTGAGAAAGAGGAGAGATAGTGGGGGTAAAGGAGTATGAAATGCCACGAGGTGGCTCAAACTCTGTATCACCACACCGTTGTTCTTCATCCAAGAAGACAACGCTTCATTGGTTGTCTTGTTATGGGAGGTGTAATTATGCTTTTGAGTCTCAATTGCAAATTACCCTTTTCAAGATTACACAAACCCCCTATAAATCTCCCTATGTCAGTCCCACTTTCTCTTCACAAAGTCCTCATCTATTGTTTGCTAAGTGGGTTCTGGGTTCACGAAACAGGGGTAGGGAGAGAAATAGGAGAGAGATGGAGAATGGAAGGGGTGTGTGAGAGTTCTTGAGTGTGTGGCTGGGGCTCTGATAGCTCGTCTCTGCTGATTGTCACTCAATGTTTGGTATAATCTCTGATACCCTTTTATATGCTGGTTTATAGTTATAATGCTGTGTTTTTTGTATTTGTTTTTTTGAGCTAATTGGTATATTATGGTCTCTCTTATATGCAAGACCATTGGTGGTTTATGCTTATTTCTTCTGTGATNTATTTGTTTTTTTGAGCTAATTGGTATATTATGGTCTCTCTTATATGCAAGACCATTGGTGGTTTATGCTTATTTCTTCTGTGATTCTATATGTTTTTTGGACTTGGGCATTTGATTTTTAAATCACTGGTTTGGATTGCGGTTTGTCATGTCTGACCAGAGGTTACTCATCTGGTGTGTTTTGCTGATTTGGTCATATGTTAGAATATTTATCTTCCATATTTCCAAAGTTATAAAATGAAACAAAGCTACATTTCACTTTTATACTGAACTCAGACACCCACGAAATATCAACAAACAAATCCTGAAAGAACGAAAGAATGGTAATTGAAGATCTGTACTTTTTATGGCAGGTGCATTGTAAGTCAATTGACCCTAACCCGTTTGAAGCCAATTATTGAAAAATCACCACTTGCCTATGGGCTAAAGCTAGATATTTTAAGTTAATAGTGGGAGCCTTTTTCTTTGTTTCTTTTTTTCCCGGGTTAGACCCTTTTTTTTTGGAAAGGGGCGGGGGGGACAATTTTTCTCTAGTGAAAATCACATTAAAAATGCCTTGCTATGATGATTTAGTAGTTCTGCATCCCTATGTTCCAAATAACAGAAACTTCTTTCTCATCCAAAGCTTTTTCTCCTTGAAACTTTTATGCTTGTGTAAGTTTAAGCCAATGTTGTGAAGGTCCATTTATCCTTGAGTTCCTTTTTTTTGGGACCACATCCTTGAGTTTTTTTGATTCCTCTTTATGATGGAAGTTGGGGTGGAGGGGGCATTGGACGGAGGTAAAGGGCCATCCCCCCCAACCTCAAACCCAAGCCCCGCCCCTAAAATTCCCTCATCTTCTTTGTTTTATTATGTTTTTACAATAAATACTAAGGACTTTAAATCTTGGCTACTCCAAATTTTTTAAATTCTAACAAGAGGACGAAGATTTTTTCTTTTAAAAATATAGAACCCATGTATATCCTATTGACGAAGCCCCAACGTTATTTAAAAGTTGAAATACCGTTCAATATTATTCAATTTGGTGTTTGTCTATGGATAATTCAGTCACACAACTACTTTCTAATATGCTATTTTATGTACAAAACTTTGAGTAATCTTATAAATATTCTCAATTATCTTGATCCTTACCCCAATGGGAAATTCCTGCCTTCATCCTTTGTGTATTTATGTTTATTTGTAGTTGTTTTTTTTGCATTCGATTTTTTTCTTACTCATTTTTCTACACTATTATATTTATGTAAAGCTTCACAAGATTATTACATATGCATTTCTTATGTTGGTGGTGATAATCTGGCTGTGAAGAAGTTTACTCTGTGCCTCATATCTTTTTTAACTTTTAAAGCAAAGTAAATTAGCCCTGATGGAAGGTCAAAGAAGCTCCACCAATAAAAGAACCATCAACTTTGACAATGGGTTGAATTCCAACAATCCTGGGTTGTTTCAGCTGAATGGAGTCCCAGTAAATACCCCAGATCATTGCGGCTTCACTTCCATGGGATCAAATGGATCCAGCTCTACTATGAACTCACCAGGCCAGGTCAATCTTGGGGATTCAAGCCTGGAACGTGGATGCTTGTTTTCTCTTGTCAATCATACTGGAACTGGCCAGAGGTTAGAGGGAAGGAATTCTGGTCTGACCTTTAATGGGCCATCAGCTTTGCATGCTTCTGGTTCTTATGCTGTCCCTCAGGTTAACTTAAATGTAGCTTACCAAGGCAATGATGGCTATAGTGGTCAGGTCATGGGATCTGAAACTCTTGAACATGTGGTTGAAGAAGTAAATCCGGGCTTGGGTTCATCAGGTGGAGAGTACCGATGTAACAAAAGAAAAATTCCTGAAAAAGCTCCTGGACAACTTCCTTTTTGTGGAAATTCAAGCTCCACAAGGCAAGTTGTAATTCCGGATAGCCAAGTTCTCCCCACCATGAGCAATTTTGCTGGGAGTGCAATCCCATACACTTCTCGAGAAAATCTTCTAAATCCTAATCNTCCTTTGTGTATTTATGTTTATTTGTAGTTGTTTTTTTTGCATTCGATTTTTTTCTTACTCATTTTTCTACACTATTATATTTATGTAAAGCTTCACAAGATTATTACATATGCATTTCTTATGTTGGTGGTGATAATCTGGCTGTGAAGAAGTTTACTCTGTGCCTCATATCTTTTTTAACTTTTAAAGCAAAGTAAATTAGCCCTGATGGAAGGTCAAAGAAGCTCCACCAATAAAAGAACCATCAACTTTGACAATGGGTTGAATTCCAACAATCCTGGGTTGTTTCAGCTGAATGGAGTCCCAGTAAATACCCCAGATCATTGCGGCTTCACTTCCATGGGATCAAATGGATCCAGCTCTACTATGAACTCACCAGGCCAGGTCAATCTTGGGGATTCAAGCCTGGAACGTGGATGCTTGTTTTCTCTTGTCAATCATACTGGAACTGGCCAGAGGTTAGAGGGAAGGAATTCTGGTCTGACCTTTAATGGGCCATCAGCTTTGCATGCTTCTGGTTCTTATGCTGTCCCTCAGGTTAACTTAAATGTAGCTTACCAAGGCAATGATGGCTATAGTGGTCAGGTCATGGGATCTGAAACTCTTGAACATGTGGTTGAAGAAGTAAATCCGGGCTTGGGTTCATCATGTGGAGAGTACCGATGTAACAAAAGAAAAATTCCTGAAAAAGCTCCTGGACAACTTCCTTTTTGTGGAAATTCAAGCTCCACAAGGCAAGTTGTAATTCCGGATAGCCAAGTTCTCCCCACCATGAGCAATTTTGCTGGGAGTGCAATCCCATACACTTCTCGAGAAAATCTTCTAAATCCTAATCACTCAGGCCAAGTGACACATAGACTTGGTTCTGTAATGGCAGAATCAGAATCTTACATGCATGGAGCTTCAAGGGAAGTAAGAAACACAGAAAGTTTTCACAGAAATATACGCCAGAGAAGAATAGAAAATCATCAAGATCTTCTACCGGCAAACGCATTTGTCTCAGGAAATTCTGTAATAAACTCACCTGTGGAGTTACCAGGTCAGACATCCATAGTTTCCCAATTGGATCACTCCAATAGCTTTCCTGGACATATTGCTTCTACATTGCGAAGTGGCTCTACTGTGGGTGTCCTGCCATCAGCTNTTGGATCACTCCAATAGCTTTCCTGGACATATTGCTTCTACATTGCGAAGTGGCTCTACTGTGGGTGTCCTGCCATCAGCTCCCCCAGGGTTTGCTCAACACCAAGTAGCTGAAGGCTCTTCAAATGGCACCAGTGCTGGGTTCCAGCTATCTTCTGGTCTACCAGGGTTGCCTTGGGGAAATAATGCAGACCGGTATACAGAGAGGTTGTCAGATATTGTTGTTCAATCCAGGACTACATTGACTGGCTCCAACTATGGAGCGCAGGGTGGTAACAACCCAGAACACTCGATTAATTCACCTACTGAACAAACTTTAAGAGCTGCTAGAAGGGGTGACGTAAACGCTCTTCAAAGTCTCCTAACGCCAGGACTCTTTATGACTAGATTTGAGAGGCATAATGCCCCTCCAATTCCCCGTGAACAGAGGAATATTGATGTTGCTCGCAGGGGAGCCATGTTGGTATTTGAGGTTAGTCTGCTTAACTCTGTCTTCTCCATAATTATCATGTTGAAGTGTCATCATTTCCACGGATCCTGTTGATATGCTTATCGAATCATTGATTTATTTATTTTTTAGTTCCTGTACTCATACATGTATATATATTTGACTTAATGTACCTCATGAACACTGATTATGTTTCCAGATAATTTACTTATATTCCTTGTCTCAACTGCAAAGTATCTCGATAGACATGGTAAGAGAGCTAGTATCTTACATCAAATAATTAGGACCACCAAGGTTGATTTACATACTTGAGGGACCACTCCACCCATTACCAATTATTTTTGGGTTGAATGCTCTAACATGATATTAGAGGTGGGCCTTGGATAGTCAGTGGACTAAGTTTCTTATCTAGTTTGTTTGTTTGTTAGCCCCACGCACGAGTCCAGTCCCACAAGAGGCAGGGTGTAAAGAGAGCTTGTATCCCATGTCGAATAATTAGGATCACCAAAGGTTGGTTTATATACTTGAGGGGCTACTCCACTCATTGCCAATCAGTTTTGCATTGGATGCTAACAAGACCTTCACACACACACACACACAAATGAATAAGTAAATAAAATAAAAATTGGGTTGGATGCTCTATGTTTAGGCTTTGGGGGCAATGGGATAATATGTTTTTATTATATCCTTATTCTTTCCTCATTTGCTTTGTAGTTTTTGCTTGGTTATCTACAAGGTAGAAAAGAGAGTTTTGGGAATAGCTATATACACTAGTGGCAGGAGAACGGCAGAAAAGTAATCCATATGTTTCATTTTCAATGTAATTGACCATACTATTGATCTTGCAAATAAGTTTTTTTTTCTCATCAAGATTTTTAGGATTTTTCTATTTTACACACTTAAAAATTCATCAAGGAAGCACATAGTTGAGTTGATTGTGATTCAAAATGAGTCTTCTATGTTCGAGGAGATGGTAGCTATTGTTTGTGAGATATGAGTTTGTGTTTAGCAATTCAATTGTACGTCATCTCCTAAATTTTGAATGGGGATTTATGCGTTCGCTCTGTGTAATAATTATAGGATTAGTAAACTGTATTGGGTCCTATGGTTAGTTTGGTTTTCTTATTGATGACTGTGCCACAACAATCATTGGGAGTTTTCAATTACTCATTTACTCTTTTATTGCTAAACAGATTCGTCGTGTTTTGGATCTCCTACGCAGGTCTGACCCTGTGCAAGATGAGGTTAGATTTCTAGGTTTTTCTGTAGTTTACTATCAAGCTCCTTTTCTCNGCAGGTCTGACCCTGTGCAAGATGAGGTTAGATTTCTAGGTTTTTCTGTAGTTTACTATCAAGCTCCTTTTCTCTGATAAATTGAATCGTTTCTGGTAGTTTCTCCATTATTTTATTTATGGCCTAGTGTTAATGAGCAAATGGATGGATAATTGATTGAATCATCTCAGACTATGTTTTCCAGATCNTCTGATAAATTGAATCGTTTCTGGTAGTTTCTCCATTATTTTATTTATGGCCTAGTATTACTGAGCAAATGGATGGATAATTGATTGAATCATCTCAGACTATGTTTTCCAGATCACATAATTATTAGTGGTAGATGCTACTGTTCCACATGAGAAGCCGCTAAACAATCTAATTTTGATATAATGTAATGCACTGATGGTCACTTGCCACATTACAAATGTTCATGCTTCACAGTTCTATCGGGAACCTGAGGAGGAGGGGGAGGACGATGACGAGGAGGATGACATNAAGCCGCTAAACAATCTAATTTTGATATAATGTAATGCACTGATGGTCACTTGCCAGGACATTACAAATGTTCATGCTTCACAGTTCTATCGGGAACCTGAGGAGGAGGGGGAGGACGATGACGAGGAGGATGACGTGCTTGAAGATATGCATTTTGATGTTGATGATATGTCTTATGAGGTAAAGCTTCAATAGTTGACATGTGATTTGGCAGTGCATTTTCTGTCAGTATACTGGACAAATGAAAGTTTGGGGTGCAGCAACTATTGGCTCTAGGAAATCAAATTGGAAATGTGAGCTGTGGAGTGAACAAGGATACTATTTTCACCCATCTGAAGCGGTGTAGGTATCAGTCGGGCACAGCAGGACCTCAAGTAGATCGGCCACGATGCTGCATTTGTCTGGTGAGAAAAAAAGAACCACTCCTCTAATATTTCTGTATACAACTATTTGAGGGAGGAGAATAATGACTCGAACCCACGTGGGTGGGATGACCTAGTACCACTGGGATTCATGTGGTCTCACAGCTTAGTTTACCTTAAATGTTCTTTCTCCCATCCCCTCTCTTCAGCCATTTTTTTATTTTTTATTTTTTTTGTATCTATCTACTACTTTTATGTTTTTTACCTTAGTCCTGTTCAAACCTTTTGCAGGATGGTTATATCAATGGGCAGGGGGTTGGCAATCNTATACAACTATTTGAGGGAGGAGAATAATGACTCGAACCCACGTGGGTGGGATGAGCTAGTACCACTGGGATTCATGTGGTCTCACAGCTTAGTTTACCTTAAATGTTCTTTCTCCCGTCCCCTCTCTTCAGCCATTTTTTTTTTTAATTTTTTTTGTATCTATCTACTACTGTTATGTTTTTTACCTTTGTCCTGTTCAAACCTTTTGCAGGATGGTTATATCAATGGGCAGGGGGTTGGCAATCTGGATTGTGGGCATGATTTCCATTTTCATTGCATCAGAGATTGGCTCCTGGAGAAAAATTGTTGTCCCCTTTGCAAGAGGACTGCTTTGCCCAAAGATTGATGAAATGTTAATTTTGGGGCTCTGTTTCTTCCAAATCAGACATAATTTACTGAGCCCTAAAAATTATCTCGAATGTTTGTTGTTGAAATTTGATGTCAGTAGACTTTTTCTTATGTTTGTGTCGTACTCAAAAACTTTCGTTACACCAGTTGACATCTCTGTTAGATGCCTTGGTGTCTTGTGCTGTCTTTTCTACTCTCAAAACTGATGATTTCTCAGGCTGTGGTGACCTACTGGGTTATCCTTCTACCACAGAATCTAAGAGGAGCAGAGGTTTGTAATGTCACTGAAGCAGCAGGTGTTTGGAAGAATAGAAGGAAACCTCAGTTCAGAGAATCAGCAAATTTTGTGAAGGTGGTTATGAGATAGCTGCTTTTCAAGTATTTTTAGTCTGTTAAGTTCTGCATTTTGTGTGTTTTTTTTCTTTCCGTTATGAATGCTGCTTCAACAGCCAGACTCTTTTAGTTTCTTTCTGCTGTAATAAAGCTGTTTGCAGACATATTAAGGTTGTTTTTTCTTCTTAGTTTGATTTAGTTTAGTTCAATGCAATGCCATCTACTCCGTCTCTTGAGAGTTACAGACTAGGAAAGATTTGTTGCCAACTTGTTCTGTCAGCTCTTTTGGAATCTGTCACCATTCCCCCACAAACTTGTGTTGTCAGTCTACAATGTATATGTTGTTGAAGGTGATCATTAACCTTAGTCCCGTGTTCAAGCTTCTCTGACCATTTAAAATTCGAATTTAACTAAATACACGTTGTTACCGAAGGCTTTTGTGCATTCAAAATTTATGTTGCAGCTATGAGTTTAAAAATCAAACGATTGGGACTATTCCCGTCACTGTGGCCATTACTTGAGGCATCTTTCTTGCTCACAGATGCCTCATTTCCTTCTTGTTTAGGGTCACTGAGCACTGGCATTTCCATCTTTTATTATCTCTCTCTCTCTCTCTCTCTCTCTCTCTCTCTCTCTCTCATATATATAGATATATATTGATGATACACAAAAGTATTTATGCAAAATCAATCAATGGATAAATTAAGAAGGACCCAACAGAAGCAAACACAGAGTTTGGGTGGATTCGATCTAGGTGATTTACTCCATTAGGAAGGACTACGATGGTCTGAGAATTTTATTGCTCAAATGTGTAATGTGCTGAGATTGTGTGTGATGTCCTCATGTATAGGTAGGGCTTACAATTTATACAGTTTTCATAACGCCTCAGAGCGAGCTTTGATGGAAGCGCCATCGCGGGGAGCCTTGATTAAGCCGTCAACCTTGTGATGGGAGTGGGTGATTCCGTGATGTTGGCGTAATGGACAAGGTGGTTGAGGCTTACAATGCGTATCTTGATTCCCTCCCTAAGATGGAGATCTCACGTACATCACTAGTACACTGAGTTTTTCAAAACGATGGGCTTGGTCCTTATTATCTTTTGACTCTCCTTAATAAAGGGTTGCCTTGGGAACTTAATACCATNTTATGTTGCAGCTATGAGTTTAAAAATCAAACGATTGGGACTATTCCCGTCACTGTGGCCATTACTTGAGGCATCTTTCTTGCTCACAGATGCCTCATTTCCTTCTTGTTTAGGGTCACTGAGCACTGGCATTTCCATCTTTTATTATCTCTCTCTCTCTCTCTCTCTCTCTCTCTCTCTCTCTCTCATATATATAGATATATATTGATGATACACAAAAATATTTATGCAAAATCAATCAATGGATAAATTAAGAAGGACCCAACAGAAGCAAACACAGAGTTTGGGTGGATTCGGTCTAGGTGATTTACTCCATTAGGAAGGATTACGATGGTCTGAGAATTTTATTGCTCAAATGTGTAATGCGCTGAGATTGTGTGTGATGTCCTCATGTATAGGTAGGGCTTACAATTTATACAGTTTTCATAACGCCTCAGAGCGAGCTTTGATGGAAGCGCCATCGCGGGGAGCCTTGATTAAGCCGTCAACCTTGTGATGGGAGTGGGTGATTCCGTGATGTTGGCGTAATGGACAAGGTGGTTGAGGCTTACAATGCGTATCTTGATTCCCTCCCTAAGATGGAGATCTCACGTACATCACTAGTACACTGAGTTTTTCAAAACGATGGGCTTGGTCCTTATTATCTTTTGACTCTCCTTAATAAAGGGTTGCCTTGGGAACTTAATACCATACCTCCTACATTGTTGATGGTTATGCTACCTTAAATCCAAATCAAAACAATTGACACCAATTGCTTTTACTAGGATTAATAAGATATTTGTGTTCAACTTATCTAGTTTGATGCTATTAGATGGGAGAATATTTTATGTAATATACTATGTCATCACCTTCATGTAGTATCTACACAATCCATGTAAAGACATATGGTTTACTTGTGATGGTGTTAGAAATTAAGAAGTGTGAGATAGGACGGCTGAAAAGCTTGATCTGCTATGTTCGTGGTTATCTGCGTGTGCGTATGTGTGTGCGGTAGTCAATGGAATCGAGAAATTAAGTGATTCATCAAGCTGAAGAATTTGACTAGTCCACTCCAATAGAGTTTGTTATTCCTAGGGTTTGTATTTGATGGTTCAAACTAATGTGGGCGAACAGAATGCGTGGGACCAAAGGTGAATCTAGGCTGCCAACTTTACAATGACAGAGATGAAGTGTTTCTTAAAGGGTAGGGGAATTTGCACAGTAAAAATATAGTGGTTCACCGGCTTTAGAGCTCGGCTAATCCACTCTCTAATAGAGGCTCTTGGTCCTCTATTTTCTCTCTTGATTTCTCGAATGTATTACAGTACAATGCATCATCTAATTAGAGTTTTTCTAGGGGCCTCCTCCCTCTTGATGAGGCATTACATAGTATTTATAAAGCTGCTCCCTATTCTGTGGGATTTCAGCCGAGATCTTTGCCAATTATTTATGGGATCCTCCTTGACTTTAGGAGAGAATCTCGGTTGGTTGAGTTTCATGCATTGGGCTCAATTTTCGCAGTCATCCAGCTGTTTCCTGGTTGGTCCTATCACGATCTCCCTAAGGGTGTTGGTTTTTTGTGCAGTCTAATTTGTATATGTGATCCGGATGATGACTTGACCCGAAGTAATATTGTGTGATTTTTTAATGAAAATTGTTTTGAGGCTTAGTCCATAAAGCGAAGGCTTGGGCCAATAGGTTCAAGCCGTAGCGCTCATGGACAGGTCTTGTGCGAGTTCGGGGGCAATGCCCCCGAGGAAAATTTTTGGGCCCATTATATAGCCTAGTGCGTAAGACATATTAAAACATGTTGTTTTGGTGATTAGGGTTAATATGGTGGATTGTACAGCCGTTCTCTGTATTCAACTCTCTCAATAGTGAAATCCCTGCAGCTTCGTGGATGTAGGCAAATTGCCGAACCACGTAAAATCTGTGTCTTGTTCTTTCTTGTTTCTTATTGCTTTATATTCTTGATTTGTTTTTCGATTGTGTGTGTTTGTTAGTGGATTTAAATTGTTGTTAAATCCTAACAAAGGGGAGCTCAACCCCTGGTTCTCTGAGTTCCCCGTGTCTTTCCTGACCTGAGCTCACAGCTAGGGCTTGTTTGAGGTATCATCAGTTGCCCCCCAACCCCAGGTTCAAGCAGGCTTGGGCAGGGGTTGAGCTATTTTTTTAAACCGAGTTGGATCTGCACGTGGTTGACCTTGGCTTGCACGTGAGTGAGGCCTTTTTGACGATTTTCAGCAATCATGACTTTCTCGTTTCCCGTGCATGTTCTAACCCACATCTCTCAAGCTTTAAATGCTCAAACGACTATCTGAACCGCCTTATTCCACTGTTTAACTTCTCTGTTGCTTTTTCCTTCTTGTGATTTTTTGGCTTTCTGGTTTAGAGTTCTCTGATTCCTCATTCAAGATCAAGTTTTGTGGGTTCGATTTGAGGATTCGCATTGTCCTCTTTCTTCCATTTCGCTCTAGGCTACTGTTCATTGCTCTTCCCTACCTAGGTACTCCTTTTTGTCCCTTTTTCACTTTTTCTATTTCTGAATCCCTCGAATTCGAGGTGGTCATTGCATTTCTGGGCTTTTCGGTTCTTTTACTTCTGGAATCGAAATTACTGCTTGTCTCCTCTCCCCCACTTCGTGGACTGATCTTCTATCGTGCGAATCCTTACTATTGGAAGCTACTGCGTTGACCCTAGGGTTATCAGGGAGTGCTTAATTAATATTCCTCCTCTCTACTGCTCTTTTAATTTGCATTTTTTGTGTCCAGTCATATCTACTCCTTCCAGAGCTGCTCGTTCCTTTGCTTCCCTCTTGGGAGAAAGGTCTACCGAAGAGGACACTGATTTAGGGGATATAGGTGAGGAAATCGACAATTTCCCCAGGGTAGATGCTGTCGATGTCGAGAAAAATGTTGAGGAACCACCCCGTCGTCTTCTTCTGTGCCCCCTAACCTTGACAAAGTTAAGGGCAAGCTGAGTGGGGTAGGAGTCTCTAACAATACAGCGGGCACAGGGAATGCCTTTAGGCATGCTGAGCTTGTAGGACCCAGTGAGGTTGACTCTTCTCTTATGAAAATTCTCAGTGCTCATTACAGTTTTCCTCCTGGTGTCCAGATAAATACACTTCATATGTTGCTCAGGTTCATAAGAAAGTTTGTTTCTTTGTGGCCACTTTTGAGAATGGCCTTCGCTTCCCTATGCATCCCTTCATCAAGAGTGTTTTGCAACACTTCAACGTCTGCCCTGCTCAACTCTCCCCTAATTTCTGAGGTGTACTTGTGGGTCTTCTTGTTTTATTTAAGATACATGGGCTCGGGGTCCCCAGCCTTTCCTTGCTTGTACATCTTTTTAATGTCAAGCTCACCTCATCAGAGGGTTTCTTATACATCTCCAAGCAAACCACGGCTAGGCAGATCATTACTCACCTCCCGAACTCCCATAAGGGTTGAAAGAAATAATTCTTTTTCGTTGGGGGCACCAGTTGAGAATACCACCCTGCTGACAGGACTGATACTCTGGATATCCCTAGAACTTGGTCTGCCCCTGATAACTTAGGTGAGCCCTTGCTCAAACTGATTGAGCTCTAGTTTAGAAATTATTGAGTTGCCTTTTTGACCTTTGTTTTCCTTGTGTTGTTCTATAGACATTCGACCAGAACTCAGTATTGAGGACGAAAGGGTGAAGCAAAAGTTGGAGAAGTGCAATCCAGAGAAGCACTCCGAGCTCATCAAGCTATAGGTCTTAGTAACACAGGGATTCAGTCCTCCTAAGGTATCGATAAAAGTTCCGCTCCCTATTTTAGTTGTTAGATTTGAAGATATATAAGGTAACACTTTTTGAGTTGGTTCCCTTGCCTTCCCTTCTTTTTCCTCTCTTCTGTTTAACTTACTTGGTTCAAATCTCCCAAGCTCCTCCATAATGAAATCTAC